TTCTTGCTGTCTTCGTTCTAATGCACCAAACAAAAGTTTCTCTGCCAAGGATAAAGCCAGGCAGGGGTTTGTTATCACTGCCCTTTCTATGTCTGCAAGAAGGGCTTTGCAAAAATTTATGGACCAAATTTCACAAACCTTGATGCAGATGGTGAGAATTTTTTGTGCTAATCATTTCCTTTGAACCCCTATAATAGGGCCAGGCCATTCCAGATTAACCCCATAAAAAGGTTATGTTTATACCCTCCCTTAGCCCATTATCAAAGCTGTAGAATTGCTTATAGAGTAAAAAATAAAAAACGTTCTAAGTATAGCCTGAAGAATTATACACAGTGAGTTTAATTAATAACATACTAATAAAAAAAGACAGGGTGTTTATTGTCTCCAAAGTGTGTGGTATGTACACCCAACCAAGTGTTTTAGTGGAAAGATGGCCACTAAATGCATGTTTCTTGCAACATAATTCATAGTGCAACTTTTTTAAAAATGATTTGTGTCATGCTCACACCATAGTGTCATTACACTGGCTGCCTGTCATTCATCACACCGCTTTAAAAATGATTTATGTAGTTTATACAGCACTTAGAGCTATGGTTGCTTTGAAACAGCCACAAACATTTGGAGAGGCAGCTCGTAGTCTTTTCAGGCTCTAACCCATTCAAACACAGTGCCAAAATGTCTGAGAACAACCGAGTGTGAAACGTAGTTAAGGGCCAAAGGCTAATATTTTCAACACGCCCCGTGTAAAAGGAATCTCTACGACTGAGTGAATCTGTAACATGTGGAAGTCTCACACTAGAGATTCAAGGTTGGTAAACGTAATAGCAACCAAAGCAGAGTTTAGGTGCATGAGTTAACTAGGTACCTATGAGTTTGTCTGCAATTGTCTTAAACAATGCACATTATTGATGTAAATCGGTGCCTTAGACGGCTGAATTCAATTTGTTTTTGTTTTTATGTGCAGAATATTGGTGTGTTGTGGATATGAAGCGTGTTATGCTTGTTGTCAAACAACACTGTTCCCGTATGAATGTCAACAGGATTTTAGCCGACATGATGCCTATGTAAACAGTTATTATCACACACAGCTGCATGGACCAGGAAGCAGTTATACACAGCTGCTTTAGTGAAAGAACTTCAGTTTAAAAATCTTGTTGTGTTGCTTGTTACGTGTTTCCTGAAAATGGTTGCAGCGACTTGTGGAAACAACACTTATGAAATGACAGTATGTATATTGACATTTCAATTTCTATTGCCTTTGCAATGAGCAATGTTATTCTCCAACCCAGATTCTCTTGGACCAGCATTCTTTAAGAAGACTTCAAGAATAGAATATTCTTGAAGCGCAGTCCAAAACCTATTTGGATGTTTTCTGCCACTTCCTATGTACAAAAAGACCCCAAGAAAGTGATGATCAAGACAATTTTAAAGGATTAGAAGAAAGAGGCTAAATAGAATACTCAGAACACAGGAGGCCTTATTTCTGAATAAAGTATGACAAATAAGGTCTTACATTGTCACATTTATGCTAAATTTATGTGGCGAAATTATCCAAAAGCATGAGAAAAACAAGGCATTCTACTAGCTTGAGGTTTTTTTTGTTAACATACCAAGAAGACAAGCAAGCATGTAGTAATTCTGTTTTCTTCAGCTCAAATACCAACAATCCAGTCAAAATACATTTTTATTTATTGCATTCACTGCCCAATCAAATGTGAGAACTCTCATGCTCATTTCCTTTAAAAAGGCAGTTTCTGAGGCGGGACTTCCTGTTAAGATAGAATCAAGATGGCCTCCATAAGGAAATGCTGACAGGTGAGCCGCTACAAAATGGTCTAATAGATTTAAAAACTACCCTTTAAGAAAGGATACAAGCACACAGTAGATGAAGTGAAAATAGAAATAAGAACATAAAATGAAGATAAATATGTTTCTGTTCTTAACAATCGCCTCGCTACAATGAAGATGAAGAGAAAGAAAGTGTTTCCTAACATGTAATTAGGATAAAACTTGGCCTCTCGGTGGCTAAATAAAGCTTCATGTTGAACTAAACTAAGATATTACACCATCATACAAAGACTGGCAATATATTTTACATTATAAAACCAAATTCGAGAGGCAAGTTGTCAGATCACAGGGATACAGAACTTCAGCGGCAGGCAGTCAATGAGCTCCTGCAGATGTACATGGATACATTTAATGTCTCAATAACTCTCCCACAAAAGAAAAGACCTATTTCTTGCTCGGCGAGAACCCCCCCTGTAGGGATTCAACAGTGCAGTTGTCCGGACGCCAAGCAGGGACAACAGAGGCTTATGAGCAGCAGATGTGATGATTTACACACACAGAGAGACACACACATCACGCAGTTGATGACACGCAGGGTCAGGAAAATTTGTCACTGCCTAATCAGTCAGACTGCAAAATGCTCTTTGAAACGGAACACAGGCAGAAAAGAAACTGCTGTGTCGATAAATCTCAGTTGGTCAAACCTCTGCAAAGTTCTTCTGCCTGTGTTGTATCAACTCAGCTTTGGAAACATTTAGCACATCCTCGCTGTGCGCGTCGCTCCAGGTGAGCCTTCACTCCCATCAAGTGTTTAAGGCGCTCCCCAGTCAAGGACTCCAAACATGTCACGGCAGGAGGGCGGTGGAAGTTTGACATTTGGCAGCGAGCGGGCATCCGCTCCAGCAGCCAATGCCTAGAATAACCTAGGCACATGAAACACGCGAAAAAGACACACTCCGACTGCTCAGCATCAGAATTCAACTTAAAACAAACCACCAGGAGGCCCTGTCACATCCACTCAGCCCTGAGAAACAGACAGACAAGCCTGTTTATAAACACACAAACACTGAGCTTGCACATGTACAGTACACAGGATCATGCCTACCACCGGTGCGCAAGTGTTTATGATTATGGACTCGCTGGGCACCGTCCTGCAGCTAAAAAAAAAAAAACGCGTGCGGACTGCAGCCTCACGTGCTCAAAAACCGAATCAGTTTCTAGAAAACACAGATTTTTATGAACAGCTTGTGCTCAGGCCTATGTATCTGGGGCTTCGATAGCAAACCAATTACGCGCAAGTGATTATTAATCAGGCCTTGTATACAAACCTACAGCGTGCCAGCGAGCCTGAAGGCGCAAAAAAAAAAAAAAAAGATGGGGAAGCATAATTGCAGCTGATCATCAAACTTCCGCATTAATGGAAACCCGAGGCCGCCGCCAAATTGGATTTGAGTCTCTTGTTTCCGGCAGGCGCCCCTATTGTGGTTAATAAGAGGAAACACGTGTGCCAAATCTCCCCGTATGGGGACAGCCGTAGATTTGCTCTGGATTAGGAATCAGAAAGCAACGACAAGGGGTCCTTCCTGTTGTTTCTTAGCCACGCGGGGCGGGGCGGTCACCCTCCTGCGCGCCACTCATCGCCTCGCTTACATGCCCTGATCCCGTGGGTAAGATTTACGGGCTGACTGCCGAAGACAGCTCGGAAAAGCAATCTCTCAGACGTCTGCAAAGTGGAACTACGCGGGCTGCTTCTGTCACTTTATCGCGTTTATCGAGTCAAAAGGAAGATCTGAGCGCGTAAAGCCCAGGCGGCTATTGCGCCCCTAAATCCAGCAGCTCCAAACTATACGGGCAGGGTGTTTTAGATGCGCTCTGTCACAGCTTTCAGGGGGGAAAAATCGAGTCGGGATGGATAAACACGAACCCTCAGCCGCGCGGCCCTAACAGGTTATGATGATGACACAGAGCATGCGATTCCGGTTGGTCATAGTTCTCCATTTCCCGGCTGTTGTCAGAGATTTCCATCAGCAACCAAACCGACCGTGCCGTAAACACAGCCCTCATTTGTTTTCTCCTCGGCGCAATTACACCATGTGATTAAAAAGCATTTTAAATAGAGCCTTCGCTGACTTTTATTTGTGTAAAGCGGATCTATTTCATGTCGAGCAGTAATGTAATAATCCCGAGCTGTCATTACAGCCCAGACCTCCCCCTCAACGCGCCAAAGTCCATCTGATCTCCGCGCTTATGAGAACCAGACTGGCGCACACCCTCACTGGGCACAACAAATCCTACTGCTCTCTAACAGGGAAACGGGAGACAAGAAAGCGCTTCAAGCAAAGCCTTCAAATTAATATAGGAAATGTTAACTTCAACAGAAGAGCAGCGAGCTTCGTGGAGACATTTACCTTCCAGATGGCCCGAGTTACCGGACTTAAATATTTGTGCCTTGACTCCCTTTCTATTACCCTAAAAAGTATTGCATTTATCTATGGGCTGTCTAAATAGAGGGAAGCAACCTGGAATAATATTGAAAGATCAGGTCCTTCATGGAAATATTGCCTTAAGGGAAAATGTCCCAAACAAAACACCGGCCACATTCCAAACTTAACTCCATGCCATGGAATCGCTTCCCTTTTTAAAACCCTAATTCCCTCGGATTAAAGTTTAGTAAAACGAATCGGTCCGAATTGCATTTCATCCCATTATTATTCAAACTAATATTATTGCACCTATTCATTTCAAACTGTTAACAACTTATGGTGGCGCGTAAAGGTGCTCCAAGTTTGTTTTGAGTGGACGAAACGAGCGTACACTGTAAAAGATCCATACATATCAGATCCCGTTGGTTGACTTAAATTACAGTATCTTCTTTTAATTTTTCAAACAATAGCTGTATTTAGGTCTATGAATAATCAGTTCAAAATAGCCGTTGCACCTTAAGGTTGTTGTTAAAATATCTCAGATCTAATCAGTCCATATGCCTTGCACAGAGAAAGCGACTCCAGCAGCGGAATATTTTATCATCCCGATCAGTATGTTTGATTTTGAAGTTGAAATCATATTTTGGATGGATACTTTTTGCAGCGCAGGCCCGTGTAGAGGAATGCGCTCTTCCCTCCCTCTCCATGACGCACAGAGGGGAGCCATAGGGAACGAGCCCACTATGAGGCAGAGTGAGAAAGGAAGGGGGAGACGTTAGAAAATGGATAAAGGGGGAGAGAGGGGAAATATTACAGCGAGGGATAGAGGCGTGCCAATAATCAAGGATTTCGGACGGGAGCGCGCGTCTTCGTGAACACATGGCAACGCGGCGGATCCATTACGCTGCGTCACGGACCCGCCGCGAGAGAAGAGGGGCTCCCTGAGGCGCAGCCGCTTCTGTTTATTCTGCCCCGTCCCGTTCACGTTGAGCTGGGACTCCCCGAGCCCCTGTGCACGGACAAAGTGAAAGTCCAGGCGGAAATACGACTCGCACGGACGGGGTGTTTTTTTTTTGTTTGTTTGTTGCCAGGATGCAGGGACTGAGCTCCCGGGCTCACGCGTTTTCGGTGGAGGCGCTGGTCGGGAAACCCTGCAAGAGGATGAAAGTTTCCGAGAGGCAGGACTCAAGTTTGGCCGCAGACACAGGAGGCAACAGGAGCATCTTCAGTGGTGACTATAAGCCATCGACTTTTTTAGTTAGAAGAGTTTTACGCACTGTTTGGAGACGCTTAAAAGTTGGTCCGTTAAGGTCATTTGGCAAAATAAAGATTTGTGTTAGGGTTATTTTTTTTACAATAAATTAGCTCCATATGATTATATGTCACAAATGACTTCAAATCAAATAATTTAATTCATTTAGTCACCAAGTCAAGGGGATTTAACGCCTATGCGTTTTTTTTATATATATTGATAATGATAAAGTCTAGACACAGCTTCATAAGATTTAAAAATTAAGTTAGTCCTCATAAATCCTATCAAATGGTTTTCCAGGATCCATTCTCCATCCTCTACCTTTTCTTTCTTTTTCCAGGCCAGCACGAGTATCCCACCGGTCGGATGAAGCAGGAATGTTCAGCACTGACGAGACCAGCAGACATCTCCAGCGACCTGCCGGGTCACACCCCGGGACCCGGGACCGAGGACCCGGACGCGGCCTGCGGGGAGAGCAAGGCGACGGAGGGCGAGTGTCGGCCGGACAGGGAGGTCCGAGTAGAGCTGCAGGGCTCCGAGCTGTGGAAGAGATTCTATGAGATTGGAACGGAGATGATCATCACTAAGGCTGGCAGGTAATTCACCTAGAGGAGACAAAATAAATACAGTTTTGATAAGCAAAATGTGCATTTATTTTGACTGGGTAGATTCTAGCTTTGAGTTCTGGGCCTTTAGGTACCCTGAGCTCATCTTCTCATCCCTATCATTTGGCCAAAGTAAATCCTTTTAACATAAACCGTTTTAACGTTAACTTTTTAACATAAAGCCTTTTTATGCGATGGCTAAAAACGAGTCTTTAATAATTAATCATTAATAATAAACGTCAAAACACACCAGGGAATTCGTACACAAATATAGAAAAAGTCCTCTGACACATATCTAATTAATTAACTTCAAATTAGAGCATGAGGGTCCCTTGGCTGCTGTACAGCGCCACCGGCTTTTCACCCCCCCAAAACCTTTCCTAACAATGGTTCTCGTTATTTAAATATCTGTTACACTATATGATGGAGTGGCCACTATCAGGTTAGTTTTGCGGTCACACCTGTGAATTTATCGGATGTTTAAAAGGCGTTAAACGCGCAACAGCCTATCAAAAATAAGCGGGACTTTCCAGACAATTTTTTAAAAACAAATTGGCAGACAGTTATCAGTAGATAATATAATTTCGCACGAGGATTAAAAAAAAGAAAGGAAGAAAAGATAAGAAACGCGCGTTTTTATCTTATGCTTTCATGTAGCGCCACTTTGGTCACATTTCTAATCCAAGCGGACATTTCCCCATTATTTCCATTTAATATGCGAGGGAAATGTTTATTTTTTTTAACTTTCATTATTTATGATAAACTGGTGATATAGAGCAAATCTGGAATTTTAAAGGGATTAAATTACCTTTTTATTTGAGTCTCTCTAGGAAATGTATATATAGTTATTAAGGTGTACATCTTCTTCCGCTTCTCTCAGTTATTTACCAGGAAGAAGCAATCCCTTTTTAAACAGTTGTATTTAATAACCGACATACGATTTGAATTTTAAAGTTTCCTTGATTATCTTCTAATCCCATGCTGTTTAATGAAATGAAACCCGGAACCAATTCTGCACAAAAACATTTTATATGTATATATATCATTCTTATTTGTTATTCAAATGTGCTGCTCTTCTTTCTTTGTCGCTTTCCACCAGGAGAATGTTTCCTTCTGTGCGCGTCAAAGTGCGCAACCTGGACCCGTGCCAGCAGTACTACGTCGCCATGGACGTCATGCCCGTGGACTCCAAACGCTACAGGTGAGCCGAGCAGAGCCGCTCGGAATGAATGAAGGCCTCTGGAGCCTTTTCCCCCTCCTGACTTCCGCCGATGCCCGTGCCTCCGGCAGGTACGTGTACCACAGCTCGCAGTGGATGGTGGCCGGAAACACGGACCACTCCTGCATCTCTCCCCGGCTCTACGTGCACCCGGACTCCCCGTGCACGGGCGAAACGTGGATGCGTCAGGTCATCAGCTTCGACCGGGTCAAGCTGACCAACAACGAGATGGACGATAAAGGACATGTAGGTAACCCCCCGCGCGTGAATGAAAGCTCTGCCAGACTGGGATCTCTTTTATTTATTTTATACTTGGATACTTGGATGTGCGTAAGGCAAAGCGTCAGAGTGAGCTCTGAACTGCTTTGACAGCTTCACTCCTCCTTGAAATTCGCTGTCTGCTCTGATGATGAGACGAAATGAGGACGGAAGTGGAAATCCCTCTGGGCTCCAGAACTTTTTTGTGTCTGGGGAGATGTGGTGAACGGGGGGCTGCTGGGAGGCTTTAGAGCTGATCCCCCTGTTTATAGAACCAACTTGGAACATGTGTGTGTGAGAGAATGGTTCTGTATTCTGCTAAAACACACGTGAGGAATGTAAACTGTGGGGGGAAAAAACTTGAGTTTAAAGATTTGAGCATGTTTTAATTTTGTCTCAGTTATTTTAGAGGTTTTAAAATCTATGTTCAGCTCCTTTTGGTTTAAAATCCTGATTAAATTTACTCTAACTTTACAGATATATTTTTTTACCCTGTAAACCTTAAATGTATTGCAATCAAATAAAATGCTGTTTTTTACACGTTTTACTTCCCTTTGAACAAAAACGGTGATTCAACATATGTAGAATTAAAAAATCCCAAATGAGGTAAAATCTACTTTTTATATTAATCAGTTTACACATTACTTGAACAAAAATACAAAATGGTTTTGAGACAAATTTTTGAAAACTGAAATAAATACTTTTAAAATAATTATTAAACTTACTTTATGCATGGTGTATGTGCAGGTTTTTAATGGATTTTTGTTAGATATCACATTCAAATCAAGGCAAATACCCAGTAATGGTTTGATATCTTTATTTTTTAAGCTCCACATTTATCTAAATACAGTTAAATTCCGACATGCCTGTCTGTGTTTTTCATCATAGACTGATTTATTATTTTAAAATGTGTGCTCACCAGACTTTTTGTTAAAGAATATATCAAACCACTGTCAAGTTGCTCACTGTGATAGCAGATATCTGCAAAAGGAAAAAGGTTCTAAATCATTTTTATTTTTTAACTACTTTTGGGTCATTGTAATTAAAATATATTTTTTCCCACCTATCTGAGCCAATAAGAATAGAGAATAAATTCACAGATTGATTTTACTTTAATAATATTAATTTTAACCAGATGTTTAATTTTCTTTTATGACAGGAAACCTAAGCCGCTGCCTCTGACGTCAGGCTTAAAGATGATTGACACGCTCGAGACGCACCTCCTAAACTTTCATCGTCTCTTTTGTCGCCAGATCATTCTTCAGTCGATGCATAAATATAAGCCACGTGTGCATATCATCCGTCACGACCCTCGCATGGCGGTTGCTCAGATCCAGTCGCTGCCAGCTGATGGGGTGCACAGCTTCTCCTTCCCGGAGACCGAGTTCACCACAGTCACAGCCTATCAGAACCAACAGGTAATACTGGAAAGCGGAAGCTCCTTAAAACTGCTGAGTTGACGTCATTAGAAAATAAGAAAACCATGTGTGCCGCGTGTTTACAGAATGTTGGGTTCATTTGAATAGAGACGTAACGACATTTCAGACGGCGTGTTACTAATTTACAGTTTTTATTGTTTTGTTTTTTTTACCCTCTCTGGAAAAGCAGACATCCAGAGAGCAGATGTTCCTGGTGATGGCCGTTGTGGGGCCGTTTGACCTCATGTAAAAATGTTTGAATCTGCACATCGGGCAGCTGACGGGGCTCCATGTGGTCTCGGTGAAATCATAAACTCAGAGCGTTTGCATGGCCAGTTGCTCAGAGACAGTGTGTGTGCGTGTGTGTGTGTTTGAGTGTGTCTGAGTGTGTGTGTGCGTGCTCCGTGTAGGGGACCTGACCCTGCTGTTGGCAGCCATTCCTCCAGTAACAGAGCCGTCTGCTGGGACTGCCAGCTCTTTTCATCAGGGCTCGTTTTACTATCAGCGAAACGTATTATTGCAGAAACTCAGTAACAAGCTGTGACTGAGCCCACTGCTGGAGCCCGCAGCCTATTAAAGCGGGGATTAAAACCCAAACCCCCCCCTACTCTCCGAGAGCCGTGTTTGACATGGCCGATCGCCCCGTCGGCTGCCGGGAGACGTGCTCCCAGAGGGGGCATGTTGCTGCCGTAAAGCTGAGCTCACTGTTAGCTTTTACACGTCACCACCGGCTGACACGTCCACTCTAACCCCGTGTCCGCCTCTTCTCTCCCCGGGAAAGATCACCAAGCTGAAGATCGACAGGAACCCCTTCGCCAAGGGCTTCAGAGATCCGGGACGGAACAGGTACTCGCCGCTTTTATGACCCACCTCGGAGAGAGGGCTCCGTTAAAGGGGGGACCCCGAGAGGGAGTTTAAGTTCGGCCGCTGAAATGCGAGGCCGTGTAAAACCTTCAAATAAAGCTGAACTGTGGAGTGCAGGATTTCACACCTCTGCGAAGCCAATGTTTAAACCCTTGGTATTGCACTTTTCACTGCTTTTATAGCACATATTTGTGTGTGTGTGTGTGTGTGTATGTGTATAGAGGGGTTTTGGATGGCCTGCTGGAGTCCTATCCTTGGAGGGGCCCTCTCAGCTTGGACTTTAAGCCTTTCACCGTACAGCTTCAAGGTATCGTCAACTATCAGTCGCTATCAGATCGAAACTTAGATGTCTGATGTGTTTTTTTTTTTGTTGTTGTTGTTTTTAACTCATTGACTGCCAGAGTTTTTTGAGCATTTTGACTGATTTTTCAAGAGCCACAGAATAGTTTGTGCTGTGACTATGTAAACACCGAACACACCAAAAGAAAGAGTAGACTCTCTTCTTTTATCAGGAAAAAAATCTACCTTATTCCGTTCTTCCTCGACTTGCGTCTCACCGGCGTCATGTTCTCTCATAGCGAACCGTTACATTTTTTTTAATTTGCCTACAGTCTATGCTAATCTCCCATCAAAAGTGGCACTGCCACCTAGAGGGTCAATTTCTCAGTACATACTCTGTCTAGAAGCCTGATATTTACGGACTAGCTTTAGCAGATCGTCCCCCAAGCCACTCTCGTTGAAAAACATAAAAGACGTCTATAGAACGTTGTGGTTTCTGACTCTTGTCGACAGGGACCTCGGGGTCTCCGGCTGGCGGCTTGAAGAGCTTCCTCCCCATGTCCTCGTCGTCGTCCTTTCTGCCCGTGTCCTGCCAGGACGCCGCCCTGCACGCCTTCACCCTGCCCCTCTACGGTAAAGCGCCCGTCGTTTCCCCGCTGGCCGGCCGAGCCTTCTCCCCCCCGGGGGCGGACGGGCTGAGGGGCCTGCCCCCGCTGCCTCCCGTGACGGACTTCCCGCTCCTCTCCGCGCTGCACGGGAAGAAACCCCCCCACCGCAGGGACCCCGGGACCCCCCCCTGCCTGGTGCCCCTACACGGCCCTCAGGCGTCGTCGGTCATCCCGGATCTCTCCGACTCCGGCTACTGCCTCTACCGCTACAGCTTCCCCCTGAGCCCCCAGCTGGCCGCCATATCCCGCCACGCCAAGCTGGCCGAGGACGCCGCGGACTGCCTGCTGTGGCGGGGGGCTCCATGGCAACCGAACGCCGGCCACTGCCTCTGACAGCCGGACTGCGCAAACAGCCTTTTTTTTTTCGTATTTAAAAACCTTTTTGTCGGACGAACCAGCACAAAAACTGATCCCCAATAGAGGCAAAAATATATTTCTGTTCAGGTAGATTTTGAGTTTGGACTTAAAGGGAAAGCACTGCCCCCGAAACCAACCCCACCCCCCTTTTTTCCCCTTGTGTGATATTTCAGTCCCTCAAAGGCTTTTACCAAAGAGCATCAGCGATAGGAGCCGAGGTATGTAACCTTACTGTTGGTGAACAGGACGGATGCTGTTAAAATGTTCACAAGTGACCATTAAAGCGTTGCTCGTGTTTTGTTAAGATCAGTCAGGCGGAAAATGTTCTTTTCTCATACAAGCCAACGTACAATCGCAAAGACAACAACCAGAAATAAAGCATTTTGATGTGTGCCCCCGAAGCAGGGAGCGGCTCAGAGTGAGGCCCTGAAACCGAACAAAAACATGTTTTTTTTTTGTTTGTCCTGAGGACCGGGCGTAGGACTTGGTCGTCCCCCCGCGTCTGAAACCAATAACATGAGCTCATCACGTATCTGTGATTGTAGGGGAAGAACAGCAGCTGGCTGAGTCCGGGCGGCTGGTTTCCATCCCTGTGCTTTATTATCAGTAATGGGACTAATCAGAGATGCATGGAGGTGAAACGGTTACCCCTGCGGAGGCCGTTATGAGCCAAAAGCTCTGAGTGGAACAACTCTGAGACAAAGACATTTTGCTCTCTGAAACGTTCCAATAAAATCATTTTTTCATCGCTCCCATATCCACAACTTTTTCTATTTTTTTTCCCTCTTTCTTTCTTTTTGCACACACAGCCTGCAGAGAGCAGAAAAGTTCATCCATGAGGAACACAGAGTCACACAACCCGCTGTGTTTTCTTGTCTGTGTGAAGGGGGGCACGCCCGTCCAGCCGCTGATGTGATAATTCATACTTTTAGCTTTTTAGCTCAGACTCTAAACCCCGAGCACCCCTCCCTCCCTCCTTCCCCTTTCCTCCCGGCCAGAGGAGCGGTTTAGGCAAAGCGTGGGGAAATGACCCGTTTCCAGACTAACGGTGGTAACCAAACAGCAATTTGCTCGTCACAGCCGGGCGCTGCAGAGGTCTAACGCGTGCTGGACGTTGAAATAGCAGGAAGGAGTTAATTGAGACACTCGGGTGGGGGTGAGGGGTTTGGGGGGGTAGGCCTGTGCTTCAGCGAGCTGTCAGGTGTACCACTATCAGACAGCCGGCCCTTTGTCTGCAGGCAGACCTGACCTGTGCCGGTTACTCGACACTCGCTGTCATTTCCCTGTTTACCATGGTGGGATAATCATTTAAAACTCCCGACTAATTCCCGATCTTTCAATCAGACAAATTGCTTTCATACCGGGAGAGCTGAACACCACACCTGTCACTCTCCAGCAGAGTCAAACACACACACACACACACATCTGGACACAGGAATTGCTGAGAAGTGTCATTGTTAACATTTAAAGACTTAGAGCTATTTCTCGGACATCTGACTCATCAGATATCACTTATATTAGTCAAATAAAAAAAATGTCTGCATTTTAAAAATTTTGAATGGATTTTCTTTTATGTTGGGTTTAAAAAGGTAGACAAACACAGAAAAAGTTGTGATTTAAAAAAAAATCCTGAATTGTGTATTGGCATAGAATACCTTGTCCTCATCTGTCTTATATTATGAATCTAAAGCTCAGGTTGCAGGTTGTGAAACTGAATGTCAGATTTATCAACGGTAAGGGCCAAAACGTCAGCTTTTTTTCTGACTTTTTAAAGAACCTTAGCCACATTTGGGCCTCGAGTTGTTTGATATTTCAGATCGGAATCCTTATTAGCTGCTGGCAACAGCACTCACTTTTCACCCAATTTTTGATATCGTCTTTAAACTTGCAGAAATACTGAAGAGTAAAAAAAACTGTGGCGGGTTCGTCCTCACTTTCTTCCTGGAAACATCAAAAGAAACAATTAAAAGTTAAAGTTAAATGCTATATTCACCTTTCAGCAGCCTGTCGAGGAAGAAAATGAGCAGCTGTTCCTTTGCCGAGGTTGTGAACACGCTGTAAAATGTGTCAACATTATCCCCGTGTAGGCGGTGGCTGAAATAACATGGAAAGTGTGCTGATTCCAGTTAGGAATAACAGAAAGAGGGGACAGTTCTGGACTAGTTGCAAGTGATTGACAGGTAGTGAAAGGGGAAAGGGGGGGGTAGGTCTGACCCCTGAGTCATTTGTTTCCAATCATACGAAATGGCATCCTGGAAGAGGAGAGGTGCTCAGGGGAAAGCCGGGACATGCAAATATACTTTGCCGTCATTAGATTAACACGGGTGACAAGGGCCGTTGCTGAGCACAAGCGCGCGTGTGTCAGTTATCTGCCAATAAGGGTCGCTTTGGAAGTGCTCGGCCTGCACACGCAGCCTCAGGCCCCAGCACCCCGGCTCCTTTAGCCTCCCTTGCGCGGCGTCATTTTTTCACCGGGGGCTATTTTTTCTGTAAACTCAATAAAAAGCTGGTTATTTATCAGGTCGGATTATGGGACACGGGCGAGCTCAGCTGTAAAAGGTCGCGAGTGAAACCAGCTGCGGCTGAAATTGAATTACGCCCGGCGAGTAATGCGAAAAGCGCGAGCAGTTTTAACGGCTACGAAGGGGATCCTACTGGGCCCCCGTCAAGCTGGACGCGGCCACGGCCACAAAGAGCTTCCGCTTCCGCTTTTCGCAGGCCTTCCAAAACTGCCGAGGGTCTCTCAAACCACGACGGAAGTCTCCGGGAACTAGCTATTCTCTTTGCTGCCATGTGCGGCCTGCAGGTGTGCGTAGGTATGCGCTCCCTGACCAGCCGGTGTCATCCGGGAGCAGAGGTCAGAGCAGAGGTGGGCAGCTGCCCGGGCTGCTTGCGTTTAGCTTGTGGTACCATCACAAGTACGTGTTAATCACCCAGACCATCCAGGCCTCAGTGCTCTGCTTTCACCCCCAATCCTCATCCCTCTGAGGGAACTGTGGCTCTTTGAAAAAAGACGGAGGAAATCGAACCCGGTCGCCATGTAGATTTGCGTTTTTGCTCTAACACGGTTCCATTGCACGTAAAACAGGTCTTTTTAATTTTGCCGTTGTCAAAGGATGTAATTCAGCCCCTTTTCCTTTTTGCTGATGGGGGGAATGGTTTTGTGGTCAGCAGAGCCGTGCGTTTTAAAGCGGCGGCTGTCAGCACTCAGCTCACGACCAACAAACACAACGCACACTCCCTCTGACCCTGGCCGTCCATCATGAGGAGCCGCCCCTCTCCCTACAGGAATGCGTGCATGCTAATTCTCGCTCCATTGGGCCACAAAGGGGGATTTCTACAGGTGTGTGAGTCGGAGTGTGTTTTAAAGAGAGAGAGAGTGGCATTAGTTTCATTTAGTCCAAAACGATAAATCAACTCTTTTTTGGAACAAGAGATGTGAGATATTCTTTTTCTCTTTGCCCATATCTTTGACAGAGGGATAGATCGCTCTTCCCTCTTTGTGCTTCCTGTGCATGACAGGCTATCACTCCTGGGACAGATAGACAGAGAAGGGAGAGTAAGGAAATAGGTGGGGAGTGATTGAGAATGATGCTCCGTGGCTGATGTATCGGATGGCAGACAGAAGGGGATAAGGTTGGGGGGGGAGGAGAGAGTGATTTAGCGCTGGCCTGCACTCTCCTCTCCTCTTATCCCCGCCTCGCCTCTTTCATGTCTCAACCTGGGGTCAGATCTGCCTGCTGCCCCAGATGGTGCTGTCTGTCTGGGGCTGCCCTCTACAGGATGTGCCCCTCTCACCCCGGTGACTACAGCCCGATACTCCCTTAATTGATTTCAGGGGGGTGGAAAAAAAAAAAAAAAAAGCCCCCCCCGCTCTTTCTTGTTTCCAACACACACACACACACGCACAAACACGGACAGCCTGCCAGCAGCCAGCGCCCCCGTGTGCGCTCACACGTACACGCGGCTGGCGCTGCGCGCTGTCATCGCTAATTCAATTTGAGACGCGGGAGTGTGACTAACAGTAGACCCGCAGAGTGTTTTACCATATGCAGCGCCACACACACACACACCTACACTCACACACCCTCCCGACAGATCCCTCCTCACACACTCTTTGGCATATCCGCCGGTATGAAAAGAGAGTAACTCCAGAGGTTTTAAGTCCATCTCCTACCTGCCCGTTTTAATCAGGAGACAACAACCTTGTCAACAACTTCCAAGGAAGTCCTTCTACTCTACAGAGCAGGATCAACGCGCCTCAGTCCCAGCAGGCATTACAAACCAGGATTTAAAAGATAATCATGCATGATTTCATAGATTATTTTGAAGCCGAATTCCACGCTCGAGTGTAATTCTGATTTTCAGTAACAGAATCCAAATGGCATTGTCAATAGCTTTTTCGATTGCATGTGAGTGAGTGTGTGTGTGTGTGTGTGTGTGTTTGTTTTCATGATATATCAGGACAATTTTGTGAATACACACCTTCAATATCAGGACGCGTAGAAATATGAGGACACTTTTCATGTCCTCATTTTTCTGAGCATACTAGAGTGTTCTAGAAGCCCCAAAATACCTCTAAACCAAATATCTCTATTGTCCTAAGAACCTTTGGAAAGCCACCTAAACATTTGTCCTATTTCTGTCATGTGTCCTTGTATATCATGAAAACACGCATGTGTGTGTGTGTGTGTGTGTGTGTGTGTGTGTGTGTGTGTGTGTGTTTCCTGGTGCTGTCAGCGATCCTTTTTCTCTGGCATTTTCTCTGGCGTTTGTTCCAACCCAGAAGTGACGGGACAGTCGTATCTCGTCCTGATGACTCTGACAAAAAGTTTAACCCGAGCATTCAGAAGTAAAGAGGAAAACATGTAAAGTTTCCCTTTTGAGTTGACGGATGATTAAGTCAGATGCAAAGAAATTCCGTGTGGCCCTAAAAACCACGCCGCGCCTATATTTGTAGAGTCAAAGACCGGCGGGCCTTCTCAGAGGACAAGGCCGCATGCCCACGTTCATGGGCTGTAAGGAAGAGGTGATGGGGTTAAACGAGGGTTAAGTTGGGGTTGGCTGGGGGGGTAAACAGGGTGAGGATGGGGGTAGTGACAAGATTAGGTGTGTGTGTGTGACAGAGGTTGTGAGAGTGTGAGCGGGAGATTGGTTAAATCTTAATGAAGCGTGGTGTGGAGGGCAGCGATGGACAGGGCCAGCTGTACTCAGGCATGTGTGTG